GGCAAGATAGAACTCATAATTAATATCTCTCAACCTTAGCAACTATAAAATGCTGGCAGGGGAATTCTGGGAGCTGAAGTCCACATGTCTTAAAAGTTGCTAAGGTTGAGAAACACTGCCTTAGCCACTAAACCCGACTATTGTGAGACTGGAGGGTAAACCATACAAGAACTGGAAATGTCTGGTTTAATGAAGAGAAGGACCAGGAGTGAGGTGATAGCAGTCTTCCAATATTTGAAAGACTATCACAGAAAGGAGGGGGTCATCTTATTCTCCAAAGCACCTGAGGGAAAGATGAAAAGATGGAAACTTAACAAAAAGAAATCCAACCTAGAATTAAGGAGAAATGTCCTAATAGTAAGAACAATTAATCAGTGGAACAGCTTGCCACCAGAAATGTTCCATCACCAGAGATTTTAAAGATGAGGTTGGATAGCCATTTGTCCAGAATGGTATAGGGTTTCCTGATTGATCAGGGGGATTGGACTAGAAGACCTCCAAGGTCCCATGCAATTTTTATTCTGTAATTCTGTTCCCTACTGGGAAATCCTACATTTATACTTATTAATCCTTCTTAAACTCCATTCACGCATGTACGATACTTTTATTTTGATATGATAGGCCTGGAGATCTTTGCCTATATTTTAGGCAAAAGATACCTGGTAGTGAGAGAGGTTTAAAACTGACCTACTGGAAATGGAACTCAAGACCGCAATTGCCTTTTTTGGACAGCGCAGAGATTAGGAAGGATTGGAGGGATCTGAGCAGAAGCAAAGTCATGAAGGAGAGAGTAAATTACTAAGGAGATAACTGGGAGAGTTAAAAAACCAAAATGCCTGGGTTATCCTTTTGCATTTGTTCCTAGAAAAGAAGCGTCCTACGAGTAGAAGGTAGATAGTGGACCGTAAGAATTCATCCCCAGCAGAGATGATCTGGCTGGATGCAAAAAAAAAAAAAAATATCACTCCGGGGGTGGCGGTGGAACCCAAATCTTCTGCCAGAATGGGTGACTCTCCCTGCGCTGGAAGGAGCCACAGACGGGATACCAGAACGACCTCGCTTCCTCTGTTAGGATTCGCGGACGCTTAGAAAAGATTGCGCATAAACGAAACGCCCGTTTCTTCTCCCTCCCCCTCCAAAGAAGGTGAAGTAAACGGAGAAAAGGATTTGCGCGGGAGGCGAACTGGGGAAATAGGGATGACTGGGATTCAGGATCGCTTGCTTCACTGGGAGAAACTGAGGACCCCCCGCCCCTCCATCCCCGCCTGTTATTTTTTTCCAATCCTACAGAAGGAATGTTTACTACGGGAACCGCTTTAGCCTGAGCCGGTGGGAGAAACTGCAGCGTTTCCGTCAGGACGTTTTTCGCTGTGACACTCACTCCTCCTTTTTCTCCTCCTCCGCCTCCCTCCAGCCTTGCCCACCCACCTCTGATCTAGGTAGCTCCTCCACCCTTTAGGGAGATCTTCCTTTCCTTCTCCTCGGGGGTCTTCTCCTCTTTCTTCCGACTTGCTCTTGAGTTGTCCCTTCTCTTTCTTTAGGACTGGCCCCTCTCTTCTATGAGACACTAAGGGGAGGAGATACCCTGTTCTGTATATACCCCCATTATTGATTTTGGAGAGTGGGGGAAAGGTAAGTGACAGCTACCACAAAGAGAAGGATTCGGACTCTTCATCATCACAAAAACCACATCGGTGGCGCTAAACGGGATCGTGGCCGCTTGCAGATGGAGGTGGCTGATTTTAAACTGACATTAGGAGCCCAATGCTAACTCTACCAAGTCTTTGGGTGAATAATCAGCTTGGATTTGTCTTCCAGGATGTTTTGGCATTGCTTGCCACCAGCTGTGCCTGCTGGGTAGGTTCTCCCAATCTTGGATTTTTTTTCTTAGGAATCATCTTCACTTATAACTGTGCTTTGGACAACTTTGCTGCTGCCTGGATTGTTACTTCAGGACTATTGCCTGCCCAGTTGAAGATGCCTTTGCTGTCTTTTTCTTTCTGAGCCCATCAGGCAGGGGTATGTTCTGTCAGGCACATCCTTACGGAGATCTTGGATTTATATTTCTCATGGTTTTGCTTGGATCACTGCCTGCCACTGCCAATTGATAGGTGGCCCAAAGAGCCCTCTTATCTTCTCCTGGACATTACAGTGGCATCCTTCTACAGGATGATAGCACAAGATGCATGGTGGCACCAATTGCACCTTGCTGTGAATGTTAGGTGCAGAAATGAGAGTTGAGAACAGAGATATTGGAACATCACCCAAGCAGGGTAAGTTTAGAGCCTGGTTTAATTTCTTCTACATATGGGTACTACTGTTATTTAGGAGAGGAAGGAGGAAGTACATGGACTTCTGCCAAAATCTTTCTGTGGAATTTAATAAGCCAATCCTCAGGCTACATATGATAAGACCAGAAAAATTGTTGCAGATGCTAATTGGAGGGATAGCAGTTGGCATGTAGTACTCAGGCAGGAGAATCATGGGGGTGCAGATTGGCTTGTCCTGAAAATGGGGGGATCTAAGATCCAATTATCCTGCAAGTTCTGTCGTATAGCTCTTCACTTCTTCAATCCTCAAATGCCACTGAATGCTTCTCCTTTAAGCATTATAAACAAAATACTGAGCTTCCATGTTCAGAAGCAGTTTAACTCTGAACAGAAAAGGAACACTGCTGCTTTTGTGATTTCCTCTGCAAACTTCCCAAAGCATCTGGTTGGCTAAGCTGGAAATGAAAAGCTTCAAACTGAGAACAAAATACAAAGCCACAAATTTAAGAAAAAAAATCCCAGGAGACATCTGAGCACTCTGACTTTCCAATTGCTGCTGCCATACAAAAAACCAGGCATTCTTATCAGGAACTTCTCCCTATTTCCTCAAAGGTTGTTTAAAGATTGCTACATGCACCACTTTTCAGTAAGTTATTTTTTTGGAATTCATGTGAAATGTTGTGTTAGCCAGTCAATAATCCTTAAAAACCAGGATAACTTTTTTTCTGCATTTCTTAGTCTTTCTCATCCTTTTCTTAGTAATAGAGAGTTTTGTTCTGTTTTGATCCTTTGAGTCAATGCTGACTCCTGGCAACTGCTTAGAGAGACAAATTCCTGCATTTTTCTTGGCAAAAATGTCTTGCTATTGCCTGCTTCCTAGGGCTGAGAGGAAGTGACTGGTAGAAGGTCACCCAGCTAGCTTTGTGCCTAAAGCAGGACTAAAATTCATAATCTTTCAGTTTCTAGCCTGATGCCTTAACCACTATACCAAACAGCCTCATAGTAATAGGAGTAGGAGAAGTGGTGGTCTGATTAATTAAAAAATTACAACATTACAAGTTGTAGTGTATATAATGTCTCTTTCCTCGTCCTAAAGACCAGATTTCCCCTATCTGAACCTTGCAGATGTGCTGGTTTATAAAGCCTATCATCCCTGAGCCAAGATAATCATTGGGTTGGCCACTTTGAAATCAGAACATTGGACTTACTGGGGCTTTATCCTGATCCATCATTGGTCTTCTTACACTCTTATATGTTAACACATCTGGAAGGTGCCTAGTTGAAGAAGGCTGTTGGAATTGGTTCTTATCACATTAGCCTGTCCTAGCCTAGTCAAGCTTTATTCAGAGCTCTTGTTTTGCATCTCTTCTGTTATTGACATGAATTTTACAGATGTGTTATACGGGCCAGACTTTAAAGGGCAAAATCTGGCTATCATGGACAGAGATGACAAGGATTAAGATAATGTTTATTAAAGACAGTAAATATATAAGTATTATTTATGGGTTTGATCAGGAGTCCTGACATTTGTAGTGTTCGTAAACATTTTGCTTGGGTGTTAGGGGGTAATGGCTGCACAGATTTCCCAGAATCCTGCTGAATCACATTGCCAAGGGAAATGAAACAAGGCAAGGCCGGTTACTTTGCTACCAGCTAAAACAGTTTGCCACTATACAGAATACATGTTTCCAGAGCTAGTGTAGCAATTAAATATGCTTAGGGTTGCAGTTTTGCTAGCCCTATCAGTTGGGAGTTGGGACTACAAACTTTAAATACCGAGGAAATAATCAATTGCAGTTTTGCAGCCTAATCCTGTGCTTTTTCATTCAAAGATAAGTTAACTTATTTAAGTTGGCAAAATCAGATTTTAAAGTGTAGCATCCAAAATATAAATCGAAATAGTAGAGTTGGATTTATTGCCAAATCAAGTGTTCCTTAGATTGTAATCATAAAGATATTTAGCTGGAGTAATCTCTACTTCTAACTAGGCATGCACAATCTTAGGATGTCACTGGCTTAATGGCTGAAAAGTTTAATTGACAGGGCATAAAGCACCATCCAAATTACCCTGCTAAACCTCATTAGCAGAGTGGATACTTTTAAACAGTCTGGATTTAAATTTAAAAATGCTAAATAAAAATGGTTCTGAAAGCCTCTGTGGGGCAAAATGTATCCATTCCGCATTTCATTCCACTCTGCCCCTAAAGAGGAGAACAAATGAGCAGAATATTTTAAGCTATCTCTCCTCTGGTGATGACACCACTTGTCATGCCACCATTGATAGCAAGGAAAGAAAATACATCTGCTCTGAACCAGAACTTGATTGGTTTGATGAATAAAATACAGCTGGCCAAGATCATCACTGTAAGCCAAGTCCAAACAAATAATATCATGGTTTATTTTGTGTGAGATAGGAATCCAGTCTGAGAGTCTATCCAATCATAATGTAGCATTTTTTCACACATTCCAAAAGATACTTGTATTAAGGTGCTAATTTTATTCACTTAAACTGCTTATTTTTGAATATTTGAATGTCAGCCACAACTATTTTAACATGGCTAGTTGGCTAAAATTTAACAGATTTACCCTAAAACATTTGTGTCTCTTTCTATATGGCTGTTTTTTATTTTAAAAAAGCATATCATTACATTGCATAGGTTATTCCTGCTTTTTTTTTACAGACTTGGTACTGCTCCCCAAGGAAATCACTCATACACTTATACAAAACTTATGGAGCTGCAGAGACATTCCAGATCTATAAGGGATCCTCATAAATTATCAGAAGCATTGGATTGCCTGCAAGAACCCAAAAGCAATGTGGGACAGCACATCAAGCTGGAGATGGGGGTTGAGGGAGAGGATGTCCCTCCTTCACCCCCTAAACTCTCTCGGCCACCAGCACCTTCTCCTAGCGGCACCCTTGTTCAGAGTTTGAATGGCTTACCGGGAACAGACAGGCGGGTACACGCTCCAGGAGTGACCACAACAGGCCTCGACCAAGGAGAAACCTCTCGACTAGGGCGTTACCTGTTGATTGACAGTCAGGGGCTGCCATACACTGTACTGGTGGAAGAGGGAGTGGGGACACCAGGGGGCCCTGAAGGGGGTGGGAGTGGGGGGGCCTTGCGCAAGGTATACAGCTGCCCTGTGTGCTTGCGAACATTCGAGTACCTGTCTTACCTGCAACGCCACAGCATTACTCACTCGGAAAGCAAGCCCCACATCTGCCGGGCATGTGGCAAAGCTTTCAAGCGCACGTCCCACTTGGAGCGCCATAAGTACACCCATTCTGGCCGGAAGCCTCATCAGTGCCCCATCTGCCAGCGCCGTTTCCGTGACTCTGGAGAGCTCTCCCATCACCAGCGGGTGCACACTGGTGAGCGGCCCTACCAGTGTGAAGCATGCCACATGCGCTTCGGGGAACGCAACACCCTCCAGAGGCACATCCGCCGGAAGCATCGTCTGCAGCTCCTCCCCACACAGTAAAGACTGGCCTTTGGGGAGGGGGGACTTAATTTGACCTGAAGATCTATTTAGGAAAGCGTCATCCAGGCTCTGCTAGCTTCCATGCATGCAATGGTAATCCTATCCTGCTTAAATCTTCCTGGGTTTTATCGGTCCAATATTTCCACATCAGTCAACACAATGACAACCTGTTCCATAGGAAAAACGTGAGTGGAGAATTTCTCCCAAGTGTGCTAAAAATTAGCAGGCGTGCTGAAAGCAGCTTGCCAAGATTTGGCATAGATCTCTTCTACTTGCCAACGAGGACCTGGTATGATATTTTATAGAGAGTGTACCATGCCTGTATGTTCCTCCCCCCTCAACCTGCCAGGAAGATCCTTTCCCTTCTACTTTGTTCCCCAGCATCACTGTTAACATTGCCCATATAGGCAGTGCACACCTAGCATGGATACATGGCTGAACAGCACTTCTCCGCCACATGCAGCATAGTGTGGTTGCATTTAGCCTGGCTATTGTGTTCTGGCAGGAGCCATTTTCTCGTGCCAGGCCTAAATGGCAGGGAGACTCCAACAGGCACTGAGTAGACTTACACATACTGCATAAACACTGCCTTTGTTATCTATGCCCCAAAGGCATGTTTTATCAGGTAGACTGACATTGCATGCCTATTAATGCATTTGTAGAACCGGTATTGAAATCTACCGCCTGTTAAGCCTGGAGGTAGGCCTCCCTTTTCATGTATCCCTCAACGCACAAACAGCCTGCTGGAAAGCTAGGGCCTTCCTATCCATTCTAGAGCTTGTATCAAGAGTCCAATTGGTGTGGGAAGGGATGTTAAACTGGGCAGCTGTTAGGGTATCTTTTTCTTCTACATGGCATTTCAAAGAGAGGTTTTGTCCAAGTGAATGATAGAAGAGGCTGGGGAAAATGTCAGCTAAATTCCATAGTTCCTGGGAAACAAGGATTTGACTCTCCCTTTATGATAATGTGAAAGTACAAAAAAGTGAGGGGGTGTGTGCTTCTCTTACAGTCCCTTAGGTACTGCTTTTGAAGTAAGCTGAAATTAGGAGGAATTGATGTTTACAATTAAGTCTCCCCCTGTTCCTCTCAAAATTCAAGCACTGCTTTAAGACATCTCCACTTTTTTTTACAAGCATAAAACCCAGTGTGGGAACTGGGGCAGCAAAGGATAAAATATGGCATACAGGTAATCCTTGACTTATGACCGCAGTTGAGCCCAAAATGTCTGTTGCTAAGTGAAACATTTGTTAAGTGAACTTTGCCCCATTTTACGACCTTTCTTGCCACAATTGTTAAGTGAATCACTGCAGTTGTTAAGTTAGTAACATGGTTAAGTGAATCTGACTTCCCCATTGACTTTGCTTCTCAAGGTCACATGACCCCGGGACACTGCAACCGTCATAAATATGAGTCAGTTGTCAAGCGTCTGAATTTTTATCACGTGACCCTGGGGATGCTGCAACGGTCGTGTGAGAAACGGTTATAAGTCACTTTTTTCAGTGCCGTTGTAACTGAACGGACACTAAGTTAACTGCTGTAAGTCGAGGACTACCTGTATTCCTTTACTGTCAGATCTGAGCACTCTCTTATTTTGAAACCCTCAATTGTTTTCCAGTAAAAATTGATATTTCAAAATTCCTTCCAAAAGATTTTTAGTTAGACTTCAGATAGTTTAGTAAGGTAGTTCTCAAATTACAGCCACAATTGAACTCAAAATTTCTGTTGTTAAGTGAGACATTTATTTTGCCCCATTTCTTGTCACAGTTGTTAAGTGAATCACTGCAGTTGGTAAGTTAATAACACAGTTGTTAAGCGAATCTGGCCTCCCCCATTGACTTTGCTTTTCAGAAAGTTGCAAAAGGTGATCACATGACATTGGGACACAGCAGCGGTCGTAAGTATGAATCAGTTGCCAAACATCTGAATTTTGATCACAGGATCTTGGGGATGCTGCAAAGGTCGTAACTATGAAAAACGGACATAAGTAAAATTTTTCAGTGCTGTTGTAACTTTGAACAGTCATTAAGTGAACTGTTGTAAGTCGAGGATTACCTGTACTTCAGCTATTCTTTTGTCGGGTCTAGTCTAATTTTTTTATTTTTTTCAAATTAGGTGGTGCCATTTTAACCCAACTTTCCAGATAATTTTGGGCCAAAACTGGTAAAGTCTTGAGTTTACCTCTGAATTAGTGTTTCCAGTCTCAGTATGCTGGCTGGGAAATCCCATACATCTTCATTTTGCTGAAGCTGAGAAATACTGCTGTAATTTCAAGATAATAGCAAAAAAACCTCTCCCACTTCACCTCAACCACCATATGTGGGTTTAGAATCCAGGTGATCACAATACTGCAGCAAAGAATATTTATACTGCCATCTACTGGTTGACTGCACTACTGCAGTCCTGATAGGTAGTTCTAAGATTGGTTTTGGAGAAATATGTGATGCTATGGTTTCCTACAATATTTTCACAGGTTTTAGGATCCTTGGTAGTGTGATGGATGTGATGTGAGGCTGGAGAAATAAGCAGGACAGGCTGCTATGCAGACATGTGTTGCACAGTGTCAGATGGACTGGTATGTAGTCAGGGAGATGCTCTGGCCATGTTTCCTCTACTTCAGGGGTGTCAAACTGCCGGCCCGCAGGCTGATTGCATCTTGCAGAGGCCGTGCCCACCCCAGCTCTGGCAATGTGAAAAAAGTCATGATACGTCGCGACGCGTCATGTGATGCGGTGAGTTTGACACCCGTGCGGTCTACTTAGTGTTGTATATTTGACTTATGTCTGTTTTTTTGCTCTCTTTTTTAATTAAAAACAATTCTCTGGGGTTCTGGTTCATTTGTGCTGTTCAAATAAAGTCATGCTGTGTTATCTCTGTCTTGTTGATCTGTTGCCTAGAAGGGAGCCTTTTGGGTGTGGATGGGCAGAAAATATAAAACCATAGAATCATGGGGTTGGAAGGAACCTTGGGGGCCTTCTAGTCCAACTCCCTGCTCAAGCAGGAGACAACAACAACAACAACAACAATAATAATAATAATAATAATAATA